AAGCAAGTGTTTGCAGAGGAGCAGGAGGGGTTGAGGGTCCAGCTACAGGTTGCCAGCCTCAGCGTGGAGCTGGACACAAGTAGACCGGACCTGTCGGCCGCTCTGAGAGAGATCCGAGTGCAGTATGAGAGCCTGGCTGGACGCAACATGCAGACCGCCGAAGCCTGGTTCCGGGGGAAGGTGGCGAGCGTAGTGGAGCTGACAGATAAGCAGGAGGAGGCTGTGCACTTAGTACGTGAGGAGACCGCTGAGTATCGACGGCTGCTGCAGTCCCGTTCGTCTGAGGTCGAGGCACTGAGGAATGTCATCGATTCTCTGAATGCACAACTAGGGGAGCTAGAGGAGACGCAGGACACTGAGGTCACCAAGTACCAGGTATAGATCACCAGCAGCAATCAATCCAAGTATAATTGCACCACGTACGCAGTACGACCACACAAATGTCTCAGTGGAGACACTCTTAGAAGTGAGGTCATTATGCTATTGACTGCAGAAACATTCTGTATAAAAGAGAAGAATAATGAAATGGAAAATAATCAGAACAATCTTTATTTGTGTCGATGGGCATAATACGCTCATATAAAATGTCCAAAAATCGTACCGTTATGGGTACAACAGCTTGTCACTGGGGCAGTAGTCTTAAGCAAACAACGTTGTACCTTATCTACCCCTATATTGTACCTAAGAGTAGTAATATGTAAAGTACAACTGTCAACCTTTTAGGGGTAGATGAGGTACAAAAATGGCAACTGCCACGGTGACAAGCTGTTGGCCCCTAAACGTACAATTCTCTGACTTTTCTCTGCTTCAAGTCTTTGTGTTTCCTTATTTGTTGAGGACAAAGACTTGACACAAAGACTGTAAATTTGCTTTTACCACGACAAGTCAGTGTGCTGACCTTTACTGTTCTAGAGTCTCAGCATTGATGGAAAAATATTTCTGCTGTGCTTTTGGCATTGTAAGGTCCAAGTGATACCAAAGTTGCAGAAATGTTACTGATGCGGACTCATTCCATCAGTGCTGAGTCATGACTGACAAACGGATTAGGACAGATGAGACTGATTCTAGAGGGAAAGGTAGTGCTGACTAAAATCTTTACGATCTATGAAGTTCTGCAGTTACACTTTACTTGAAGGGGTGTGCATAAGACTGACATGACACCTTCATAATCATGACATGACACCTACATAATCATGACATGACACATGTCATGAATATGAAGGGTTTTTTATGCATATTTATGACAACTGTCATTAAGTGTCATTCGCTCAGTTATGTAATTTATTATGCAAAGATGACATTGTTTGAGATGTCTTTGTTATGGGCTATGGTTAGGGATAAGGGTAGGGGTAGGGTTAGGTCAAATAATGTCATATTTGCATTAAAATGACATAACTGAGCGAATGACACTTAATGACAGTTGTCATAAACATGCATAAAACCTCCTTTATATTCATGACATGTGTCATGTCATGATTATGTAGGTGTCATGTCATGATTATGAAGGTGTCATGTCAGTCTTATGCACACCCCTTCAAGTAAAGTGTTACCAGTTCTGCTCTACTACTCTGTATCTCTGGCACAAAAACAGTGTGTAGGAACACTGAAGCATATCAGCATTAATTTATGCTTTGAAATTTTCTTTGAACAACTTCTAGGAGAGGATAAATGACCTAGACAGGGACATCGCTGATGCGAAAGAGGAAATGTCACGCTATTTGCGGGAGTATCAAGATCTGCTTAACGTGAAGATGGCTTTGGATGTTGAGATTGCAGCTTACAGGTAATATACTTGACAGTATGACACTTGCAGTTTCTTTAATCAATTTAACTTAAAACCATTCTTGTGTATTCAAAAAGAATCAAGAATAACTTTGATGTTAGATCACAAATGAGTACTGATTTAATGCGGTTTGTTTTGAACTTAACTTTATTTTTGTCTTTACAGGAAACTCCTGGAGGGAGAAGAAATTCGATTTACGTATTCCACCCTACCAGCCCTGGCCTAAACCCCTAAAACACAAAACCCTAGTAACTCACATTCATCATATTCATATTTTAAATATAAATATATCACCTTCCCAAACACTGAGATGCACATAAATCTACTCAGCCCCCCTCCCCCCCCAAAAAAACCCTCGTCGCCAAATCCATATCCATAACCTTTACATTTACTTTCAATCCTAGTTCTTTAGTTAATTACACCCAAATTCCACCATTTAACCATGAAACTAAATCGCAGCATGTCATCGCTTTAAAGTCAGACGAGCCCTTGTGTCACACAAGAGGTACACATAATGAGGTCCCCCTTCTTCTCTACACTTGAAAATGGACAATGACCGCCTTGGAGACATCGCTAAGGGCAGCACTCACTCAGCCAGAGCTCAGTGTCATGTTGGCAGATTCTAATGGAGGACCTTAGATGGTTTAACTTAAAGAATACTACATTGTTCTGCAAATAATAGTTTGACATTTTTATGTTTCCCAGCACCCACTGAAAAATCAGATTAGCCAATGATCCCTTATATGCAAACTTTTAACCAATTGTTTGTTGAGGTGAATCGTTGTTCAGTCTCAACTCACTTTGGGTGCTAGAAATGGACTAAAACCAATTTGTTAATTCGACATTAGACCAAGAATCAGTCAACAGGACACTGTGCACCATCCCTGGCTCTTTAGATTACATGTAGTTAGTGTAACAGTTAAGTTTTAGCTATGTTAAGTTAGAATGTGTTCATTTTAGTAAACGTTGTAGTGATATTTAATTTGCTATATGTCTGTGTTCTGCTTCTCATATGTTTGTTTGGTTGAGAATATTTGATTATTTTGCTTTAGCATTTACAGTATCTGACTTGATAAAAGCATGACTGAAAATCAAGAGTAGAAATAAAAGCTCTAGAACTGGAGTTTTCAGACTTGTGGTTAAAATACAGCATGCTTTCATCTGCTTTTGTTGTGTCATCTAAGTTAAAATGTTTGTCAATTATCAGTAATTTGAAAATGAACAAGAAACCGAGGCTGATTATCATGGCAGTCTCTGAACTGAATGGTGCTGTATGTTTGCACCTAAAATAGATGCTGAATAAAGCAACAGTACCTCTTCTGGAGCACATCTCTGGTGTGTGTTTGTGTGCAAGACATGCAGTGAGGTCCAGATATCCAAAAATTGCCCATTAAAACATCTTTGGAACATTTTCACATTAAGATGGAAAAGATGGATAAGCAGGTTTATGATGAATGACTCAAACCTGATTCTATTAGTTAACAATAACGGTGTGATCAGTGTAGCCCAATTCCTGAAAGCATGCTTTCATCTGCTTTTGTTGTGTCATCTAAGTTAAAATGTTTGTCAATTATCAGTAATTTGAAAATGAACAAGAAACCGAGGCTGATTATCATGGCAGTCTCTGAACTGAATGGTGCTGTATGTTTGCACCTAAAATAGATGCTGAATAAAGCAACAGTACCTCTTCTGGAGCACATCTCTGGTGTGTGTTTGTGTGCAAGACATGCAGTGAGGTCCAGATATCCAAAAATTGCCCATTAAAACATCTTTGGAACATTTTCACATTAAGATGGAAAAGATGGATAAGCAGGTTTATGATGAATGACTCAAACCTGTGATCAGTGTAGCCCAATTCCTGAACGATTGACTCTTTTGAGTCGGTTCTTTTTAGTGAACAAAACCCTCATGAATCAGTCAGACACATTAATGATTCAGTCTGAGTTACTTGCTGAACTTACGTTTTGTCATGTCCAATTCAGAAAAACATGAATAAAATAAAGTACAGTATAAATAAACGATAATAAATAACTACAAATTGTTGTCCCTTTGAAGCCCATTTCTGCCACACACACACATTTATATATACAGTATATATATATATATATATAAACATTATTTGGTAACTTAAAGTGTAAATTGTGACATACAAGTCATAATTATGACAGTGTTTTTATTAATTTATTTATATATTTCCATGTCGTAATTGTCAGTTTGTTGTCATTTTGACTCTTTGTCATAATTAACTGTTTTAATATGATGTAACCAAAGTGGTCGACTTTTAATGTCATCATTTTAGCTTTTAATGTCATAATAATGATCATCATTTTGACTTTTATGTCATAATTATAATTTACCTAAGCTTTTTTTCTTCTTATGTGGCAGAAATGTGCTTCCACAGAGACAACAACCATGTATACTGGCTGTTCATGTGACTGGCTTTTTATGTAGATATATTATATTATGCATTTTTGTCAGCGCTGTTTAATCAAAAAGGAATACGTTACCAAATTGTTGTTTGTTTAGTATTTTTAACCAACGGATGCTTACCTTATTACCTCGGTTATGCCGCCTCTAGGCCGCTTTTTAGAACATTTTTTCCACATATTTCTTCCGACGCAGGCTAGAACGGTTAATGGCACCGTTAAGGAGCCGAAATCGTTCACATAAATCATAATCATAACAGTAGTTAATTTCCCTTGTTCGCAGTTCTGCTTCCTTCCAGCGCGCGGCAGTAGAGAGCGCGTAGCGTTCAGCTCAGTCGTGACTGTGGCTCGAGTAAAACAAACAGCTTTTCGCATCGACCATACTGCTTTAAATTCTTCTGGGAACTGTAGTCTGTGCGGATTACCAGAAACAGTGGAGCATGCACTATTAGGTCGTGCTGCTTATGATAATGAAAGAGCATTTCTGTTGGAAGAATTAAAAGAAATAGGGATAGAAAATATTACACTTAAAACTTTGTTGAATAATGGCTTGAATCGTTATAAAATATATAATGCTTTAATGACATTCTTTTAAAAAGTAGATCTGTTTAACAGGATTTAGAAGGGATTTTTCTATTATTATTATAATATATATATATATATATATTTTAATTTGTAATTTAGTTCTTCCTATTCCATCAATGGTCCACACTCCAGCCCAGTAGGTGGCGGGAATGCACCTATCGTTTGTTTGCCAACCGCCATAAAACTCCAAAAGAAGAAGAAGAACAACAAACATCTTCCGTGGTTAAAGTTCAAGAACATGGCGGCCTAGTGAAGCTGCTCAATGTTATATAGCCATGCTGGAATCTGTTACTGTATAATACTATACTATATTCCTTAATTCCTTTAGGGTTTGACTGTATGTTCTGCATAGACGCTTAAGGTTAACCATAATAAGATTTAATCTTCAACATGTTGCGGGCTTTATCGAGGTGTCATGCTCCTGTCGTCCGTCTTCTCTCTCCTCGTACTGCTGTTTTGGTCGAAGCTGTCAGGGGAAGAAAATCTCGCACAGACCCCATAGCGAAGTCAAAACTGGGACGGATCAAGACTCCCCCTCCCGTAGATCCAGTAGAAATGGTTGTACTAAAGGAGCGTTACACTGAATACAATCTGGTTTTAAGAGCCCTGCGGTAAGACTGCATTACATTAAACCTTTTCCTGACTGATTATGATGTCTAGTCACCAGTGAATACATCTGGTTTTCTGATTACCAAACTCACGCTATTTATTATCACAGTTGAGACTTAAGCCAGTTGAGTTTGAGACTGACAATCTCAACTGACATATCTGAACATGTTATGCATGTAGACTTGAGTTCAAGGAGCAGATGTTGAGGAAGAAATATGAAGAGGAGGTTGGTTCCGTGGCAGAGGAGAGAACTAAAAGGGAGGCAGAAGAGCATCGGTCACTGATGGCCTTGAATGATGCTGAAAACCTCAGAATGCGTGAGATAAGGTGAGTCATTTAGAGGTGAGATACCTAGGGGGCATTTTGTGAGAAGGTTCTAGCTGCGTGAACAGAGTAGTATGTCTGAATTCACAGTATTCATAAAACAGTAGACAAAAAGTCCTTGGATGACCTACAATATCTGGCGAGAACGGGCACTTGATTATCTCACGAGGCTGCAAAAGATTTGTGCATGGCAGTTCAAGGGATAGTTCACCCATACATGAACATTTGCAGTTAATTGACTCCCCCTTTAGGGGCTCTGATGACATTCCCTAATTGGCTTTTTTGTTTTAGGGGGTGTAACTTGTAGTGATGTGATTTATGGTGGTGAGGGATGCAGTCAGATATACTTGCTTTTCGTTGCTGTTTGAAATGAATGTGTACCATCTGGTCTTCAAGAGCGCAACGCATGCAGAAGGAGGCTGAGGCCGCTGAGCTGAAGAAGAGAGAAGCAGCCATCTTACGCCAGCAAGAGCTGGAGAGCTACATTAAAGAGAAAGAAAGACAAATTCTTCTACTACAGGTGAGTGCTTTTACAGAAATTTTGTTCAAACTTAAACTATGTATGAGTAGTGCTGTCATGTTTTGTGTTGCAGTATTTTTATTTGATTAATTTACAAACTGAAGATATTTTATACATTTCTGAAAAGGATGACATGCTTTATTCATGTTATTATATTTGATTAGATAGGGTTTTGGGGGTTTTATGATCTAACCCCTCTCTCACCCTGCATTCATCTGTATTTCAGGAAGAGGCAAAGGACTTCATCACACCGGACAATCTAGATCAGCGTATTGAAGAGGCTCTTGACAACCCGAAAAACTACAACTTTGCCATTGATAAAGAAGGACGTGTTGTCAAACGGACTGCATTTCAGCAATAAGGACTTCAAAAACCTAAATACATACAATGTACATAAAATATATACTGTCAGTGTCATCGTTTAAACTGTATGGACAAAACAAAAAAATGTTTTTCTCAAAACTGATCCATATGAGAGTGCTTTCTGACCCTCTGCAAGTATTATTAGTGAGTGATATGTGAGGAACTCAAAATATCTCAAATATACTAAAGTCTCTTAGTCTCTGTCTTCTTATGATGGTCTTCACTAGTCAAAATAGTTAATACAGTAAAAGCACCAACTAATGTCATGACACCTAAAAATGGCAAAACAAATGTCCAGTAAGTGTGTGCTGAATTAATTCTAATTACCTTAAATGTAGAATAATTGAAGTGCCACAAAATGTAACCATAACACTTAAACATTATACATGCTAGCAAAAGTGTTTTTAGTTTGTTCATGAGGTTAAAGGGTTAGTTCACCCAAAAATACAAAAATCTGTCATTAATTACTCACCCTCATGTCGTTCCAAACCTGTAAGACCTTCGTTCATCTTCAGAACACAAATTAAGATATTTTTGATGAAATCTGAGAGCTGTCTGACCCTGCATAGACAGCAACGCAACTGAAATGTTCCCAAGTCCAGAAACGTAGCAAGAAGATCTGTAAACTAATCCATGTGACATCAGGGGTTCATCCGCAATTATACGAAGCTACGAGAATACTTTTTGTGTGCAGAAGAAAAAAACGACTTCATTCAACAATTCGTCACAGAACAGCATACGTTGTTTACGTCCAGCTGATATTCTCCAAAATGGCACCAGGGTGATGCGGAGGCGACGAATTGTTGAATGAAGTTGTTTTTTTCTTTTGCGCACAAAAAGTATTCTCGTAGCTTCGTATAATTGCGGATGAACCCCTGATGTCACATGGATTAGTTTACAGATCTTCTTGCTACGTTTCTGGACTTGGGAACATTTCAGTTGCGTTGCTGTCTATGCAGGGTCAGACAGCTCTCAGATTTCATCAAAAATATCTTAATTTGTGTTCTGAAGATGAACGAAGGTCTTACGAGTTTGAAACGACATGAGGAATTAATGACATTTTTGGGTTTTTCCCGTGTTTTTGTTTTGTTGTAAATATTCACAATCCTTGCGTCGCATCTCACAATAACAACAGTTACTATACATTCAGATTGAATAATGCACTTTTTTTTATAGGTTATTAATATGAATACTGAAGATAATTAATTTTTATCCATAAAATGATTGAATAATCAACAAACAATCCATGAATTGTATTTAAACTTTTACATTCTTGCCTCATCTTACATTGCCGGGGAAATAGATGCTCAATTCAGATCTGCATATCATACTACTCTAAAAATATAATGATATAGCATACTACTCTTTATATAACGATATGGTAAAAAAGTAGTATGCGGTTCTATATCAGCAAAGAGTTTCAAATTCAGCAAGAGTTTGACATCAAATTAATCAAAGATATTTAATAATTCAATTACATTTATTACACTATCACTTAATCATATCTACATAATATTTCTGATTAGTAAGGTTTAACTTGTCACACTAGACAAAAATGTAGGAATTGGCTGGCTTGTCAGATGGAGTCTCCCACAGGGTTGCCAGGTGTGTGTAACAAAACCAACAAACCCAATGACTATCCAAATATCAAAACTCAGCATATGCAACTCTCATACCTAAAATACGTATTTTACAGTCACTAGTATATGTAATACACAATTTCAACTTTAAAATCACTAGTAGTAATCATAAATAATCTGTTTTCATATAATAAAGACATTGCATCAAAGAAATGACATTATGTCTAAGGTAAAGAAAAAACTCGTGGCAGAGTTGGTAGAATGTAAAATATTTCAAAATGCAAATTTCAGTCGATAATCAATGCAATATGCAAACCTCTTTAAACCGCGGGAAAAATCAACCTACATTTACTCAATTGACGGGATAACCGCGAACTTGGCAACCCTGAGCTCCTCAGACATGTCCATACATGCGCAGACGCGTTGGCCAACTACTGCTTCCGGTACAGTCACCGAGACAGACCCTACAGGAGAAGAAGAAGAGCCGAGGACTGGACAGGCGCCTCGACAAGCATATGTGAAGAACATTTGAACCACATATTCATATTTAAAGAAGATTTTATATACATTTTCACAGGAACTTTTGCTAATATCTAATGTGTTTGACACAGTGGTGTCCTGCTTCCATCGGGATTGAATGTTTTCTACGATACATCTGATCTGATGCAACATGGCAGCATCACATGTTAATAGATGTCTCATAAGGACAGTCACGAGATGTCTCCGGGACCGCGGTCGGCAGCCAAATGTGATGACAGTAAGGCCTTTCGGACACTTTTCTAACTCCTCTCCAGGTAAAGAGGACCATGAAGCAGGAGCTGTAACGTTAGTCTCACGCCGGAGTTCAGGAGGCGGCGGTCGCAGCGCTCGCCTGGCAGCCGCGCTTGGACTGGGACTCGGAGCAGCAGCATTGTATTCATTAAGAGACGAGGACAATACAGATGCCCTACAGAGGACAGTCGCGCTTAGGCATTTGCTAATTGACAGTTTACTACCGACGGTCCAATGTGCCTCCCCGTTTAAACCGGACAGCCCGCGGTACAAGTATAATTTCATCGCGGATGTGGTTGAGAAGTCCACACCTGCTGTAGTCTACATCGAGATCGTTGGGCGGTGAGTCTGTCAGAAATGCAACGAAACTGTGTTCTAGTCCTGCTGAAACATCTTAAACTAGCTTAAAACGAGTCTCTGAGCTGGTTTAAAGGAGTCTTACATTCTGGTCAAGCTGCTGACAACCCCTTCTTATAAACTAGCCCCCCTGACTAGACTTTTGGAGGCCAGCAAACCAGTTTAGGCTTGTTTAAGTTGTTTTTCTCTTCACAGGGACTTTTTCATTCTTTGTGAACTGGTTGCATCTGACATCTAGGTGTTTAGTTTCAGTTCTGCTGGGTATTGTGACTAATAATATATGCTGTGTTTTTCAGACACCCCTTTTCTGGCCGTGAGGTGCCCATCTCGAATGGCTCTGGCTTCATCATAAGTAGCGATGGCCTGATAGTGACCAATGCCCATGTGGTCGCCAACAAGCGTGGCGTTCGTGTTAAACTGACCAATGGAGAGACTTACAACGCCACGGTCCAGGATGTCGACCAGGCTGCAGACATCGCTACCATCAAAATCAATGCTAAGGTACCAGTGGTGCTTTAATGCAGTGTTTCCCAACCTTTCTTTAGTCGCGGCACCCTTTGGAAATTTTAACAAACTTGTGGCACCCTCAATGGTGGCAATCAGTAGGCTAATTTCTAATGAAGAGGCTAATTTATATGACAGATTTTAATGTAGGCTTTTATACATATGCAAACATTATTTAATCACCATTATAACTAGCTATCTCACAAATTTTTGCTCACTCAGTGTTTTTTTTTATTTTACAGTGGGGTAATTTTGGTGCAGTAGCACGAGATTTGATTGATTTCAAACTTTGAATTGAATAAAAAATGACAAGTAAGCAGTCCGTAATAAAATAAGAACAAATAAAGAAATTAATAATGATAGCACAAATAAAAAATATGCACAAAGTCTCTCGTTAAGCATTTTCCTCCTGTAGAAACATACAGTAAACAGAAACACTTAACATGGCGTAATGTATTAAGATGCTACTAAAATATCAAATTCAATATACAGTTTATTAATATAATGAATATGTATATAGTATTTTCCTATATGCTCCTCTACATTATTAATATACATAACTAATATGTACAGGCAAGCAGGTGAGCCCAGAATAAATGCAACACGCACAATTTCGTGTTAAGCATTTTTCCATATAGAATAAACTGTCTTCAGCTCTTTTATGTCATTGTCTTTGTCCATTAAGCTACATTACGTGTTTTATTTATAATGATTTTCTATAAGAGGAAAATGTTTAACACATTGCGTTCTGGGCTCGTCTGCTTGCCTGTACGGAGTTGATCCTTTTAAAATCACTTAATGCATTTCAAAATGCACGTTCATATTTGTTGGTCTGTATTTGAGTCAACAACAAGACATGTCTTTATCATAGTCAGTTATTATACAACATTAAGCGTTTTGCTGTATGGGAGGACAAGTGAAAGTTTGTGCATTGTGTTCATAGCCATCTGTTTGCCTTGTAGTACATTAAATAATAACTATATATCGAATTTGATCTTTTAATTGAACTTAATGTATCTTAATACATTACGCCATGTTAAGTGTTTATGTTTTTCTACGGGAGGAAAATGCTTATCGAGAGACTTTGTGCATTGCGTTCATATTCTGCTGTTCTGGTCACGGATTTGCGGGTCTTGTCTTTTTCTTGCAGGACCCTGTAGGTTACGGTACTAAGTTAGTTGTAATCGTTTAATCACCACCACAGCGTCACGTCTCCATTGGCAACACGCACGATTTGTGTTGATTGCAAGTGACGTCGCAGGTATCGGAGAGTGCAAGTGACATTGTAATTTAGTTTATTTTTTCTTGCCTTCACCACCTGGCTACTGTTGTAAAATGTTGAGCGATTCAAACAAAAAGTAATCAATAAATAGAACAAAATTTTAAAAAAAAGACTGCAAGTGACATCGCTAGCGGAAGCGCAAGTGTCTTGAGAGCGCAAGTGTCTTGAGAGCGCAAGTGTCTTGAGAGCGCAAGTGTCTTGAGAGCGCAAGTGTCTTGAGAGCGCAAGTGTCTTGAGAGCGCAAGTGTCTTGAGAGCGCAAGTGTCTTGAGAGCGCAAGTGTCTTGAGAGCGCAAGTGTCTTGAGAGCGCAAGTGTCTTGAGAGCGCAAGTGTCTTGAGAGCGCAAGTGTCTTGAGAGCGCAAGGCTGAGAGTGCAAGGCTGCAGCTAGACCCTCTCGGAAATTTCGGTGCATCTCTAATTATTGGCGACATCAGAAATGGATATTATATAATAGATGCTTTTTTGAACATTTTAGCAATTTAAAAATATTAAAAAAGGATTTTTTACACTGCACCCCTGCTCTAAATATTCAGCAGGGATGCATTAAATTTATCACAAGTGACAGCAAAGACACTTACAACGTAACAAAAGATTTCTGTCTCAAATAAATGTTGTTCTTTTCACTTTCTATTCATCAAATAATCCTGAAACAAAGTGTGTCATGGTTTACACAAAAATTCTATGCAGCAAAAACAGTTTTCAACATGGATAATAAAAAGAAATGCTTCTTCAGCACCTAATCAGTATATTAAATTATTTCTGAAGGATCATGTGACACTGAAGACTGGAGTAGACAGGCTGCTGAAAATCCAGCTTCGCCTTCACGGGAATAAATAACATTTTAACATTTATTAATATAGAAAACAATTATTTTAAATTCTAATATTTCACAATATTTTGATTTGTACTGTATTGTGCACATAAGAGGCCCCAAACTTTTTAGTTAAATTGACTTAACTTTTAAAAACACATCTCCTCCATCTTTAGCTGACTCTTGCACTCTCTATTCTAATTCTAATTCTATTCTTTAAAAAAAAAAAAGTGCCCCTTTTAGATATAACTGCTTGTTTTCTTTGAAATTTATCACAAGTGACAGCAAAGACACTTACAACGTAACAAAAGATTTCTGTCTCAAATAAATGTTGTTCTTTTCACTTTCTATTCATCAAATAATCCTGAAACAAAGTGTGTCATGGTTTACACAAAAATTCTATGCAGCAAAAACAGTTTTCAACATGGATAATAAAAAGAAATGCTTCTTCAGCACCTAATCAGTATATTAAATTATTTCTGAAGGATCATGTGACACTGAAGACTGGAGTAGACAGGCTGCTGAAAATCCAGCTTCGCCTTCACAGGAATAAATAACATTTTAACATTTATTAATATAGAAAACAATTATTTTAAATTCTAATATTTCACAATATTTTGATTTGTACTGTATTGTGCACATAAGAGGCCCCAAACTTTTTAGTTAAGTTGACTTAACTTTTAAAAACACATCTCCTCCATCTTTAGCTGACTCTTGCACTCTCTATTCTAATTCTATTCTTTAAAAAAAAAGTGCCCCTTTTAGATATAACTACTTGTTTTCTTTGAAAAAAAAACTAACACTAGCTTCTCTATTCTTTTTGTATTCAGTCTGTTTTCTTTTTATTTATTATACAATTAACAAAAAGCAAAAAAAATGCCTCTAACACTAGCTTGCTCTATTCTTTTTCTATTCTATCTGTTTTGTTTTTATTTATTATATCATTTAAAAAACAACTTGCTACATGCACTAAGCTAACTTGTCATAGCACTTTTACATCATTGCTCTTATGTTGATTTTGATTGCTTCTATTGTCCTCATTTGTAAGTCGCTTTGGATAAAAGCATCTGGTAAATGACTAAATGTTAATGTGTGTGTACATATAATATGTACTCCTACAAATGTTGCATGTCTCATTCTGTTCTCTTCCCTCCTCGTCTCATCCCAGCATCCCCTCCCAACGCTGCGTCTCGGCCAGTCGTCTGATGTGCGTCAGGGGGAGTTCGTGGTTGCCATGGGGAGCCCTTTCTCTCTTAAAAACACAATCACATCTGGAATCGTCAGTTCTGCCCAGAGAGGAAGTAGAGAACTGGGCCTGTCCAACTCCAACATTGACTACATCCAGACTGATGCTACCATAGATGTACGAGCACAGGAAACGACATTAGAGAACTTGGGTATTACTGCTTGTTCATTTCATTTATCAGATAACTCATATATTGCATCACATTTCTATTTTACAGTTTGGAAATTCAGGAGGTCCCCTTATAAACCTGGTGAGTCACTGACTGACATTTACACAACATACCGCTAGTACATTTTGGTTTTAGAAACAAGGAAGTTGAGGTGTTTAATTTTGCAGGTCAGATTGAATTTATAGGTCATTTGACTTATTTGTCTACCTGATCAATCTATCTGAGAACCTGCTGATTGGTCACGTGATGTAATGCATGTGATATGAACTAACATGTGATGTTTGTAACTTTCAGGATGGTGAGGTCATCGGCATTAATACCATGAAAGTGACTGCAGGGATTTCCTTCGCCATTCCCTCAGACAGAGTCCGCATCTTCCTGGAGCGTGCGGCAGACAAACAGAGTAAGAATGACCCTTGACCTTCTCATTCTTGTTAGTGACATCATTTGTATTGAGGTCGCTGATTGATGTGAATCGGCTGTTTTCAGAGTCCTGGTTTGGAGAATCAGGATCAAAACGGCGTTACATTGGAGTGATGATGCTGACTTTGACCCCCAGGTGCCTATCTGTGTTTTAATAACAGACCATAAAAGTGTGTGAGATGGTCACTGTATTTTTTTTTTTTGTATGTTTTTTGCCCTCTCAGTATAATCGAAGAGCTGAAGACGCGTGACATGTCCTTCCCTGATGTTTCTCATGGAGTTCTCATCCACCGTGTTATTATAGGATCTCCCGCCAATAGGTAAGCAGCACTGCTCTCACCCCCATGTTGATAGTCCTCCTGTTGTCGATGTCATTTCCTGTTTTCTGTTTCACAGAGCTGGAGTGAAACCAGGAGATGTTATTGTTGAGATCAACGGGTCAAAGGTGAACTCGTCAGAGGAGATCTATAACGCTGTGAGAACAAGCGACAGCATAAACGTGGTGGTCCGGCGGGGGGCCGACCTCCTCATGCTGCACATGACCCCTGAACACACAGAGTGACGTCCCGTGAAGCTTACGCATATAAATAAGAGAGTAATAAATGGTTCGGCTGAGTGAGAAATGAGAAGCGAAAGATGATTTGAATAATTATTATAGAAGGAAGTTGAGGTGTTTAATTTTGCAGGTCAGATTGAATTTATAGGTCATTTGACTTATTTGTCTACCTGATCAATCTATCTGAGAACCTGCTGATTGGTCACGTGATGTAATGCATGTGATATGAACTAACATGTGATGTTTGTAACTTTCAGGATGGTGAGGTCATCGGCATTAATACCATGAAAGTGACTGCAGGGATTTCCTTCGCCATTCCCTCAGACAGAGTCCGCATCTTCCTGGAGCGTGCGGCAGACAAACAGAGTAAGAATGACCCTTGACCTTCTCATTCTTGTTAGTGACATCATTTGTATTGAGGTCGCTGATTGATGTGAATCGGCTGTTTTCAGAGTCCTGGTTTGGAGAATCAGGATCAAAACGGCGTTACATTGGAGTGATGATGCTGACTTTGACCCCCAGGTGCCTATCTGTGTTTTAATAACAGACCATAAAAGTGTGTGAGATGGTCACTGTATTTTTTTTTTTTGTATGTTTTTTGCCCTCTCAGTATAATCGAAGAGCTGAAGACGCGTGACATGTCCTTCCCTGATGTTTCTCATGGAGTTCTCATCCACCGTGTTATTATAGGATCTCCCGCCAATAGGTAAGCAGCACTGCTCTCACCCCCATGTTGATAGAGTCCTCCTGTTGTCGATGTCATTTCCTGTTTTCTGTTTCACAGAGCTGGAGTGAAACCAGGAGATGTTATTGTTGAGATCAACGGGTCAAAGGTGAACTCGTCAGAGGAGATCTATAACGCTGTGAGAACAAGCGACAGCATAAACGTGGTGGTCCGGCGGGGGGCCGACCTCCTCATGCTGCACATGACCCCTGAACACACAGAGTGACGTCCCGTGAAGCTTACGCATATAAATAAGAGAGTAATAAATGGTTCGGCTGGGGGAGAAATGAGAAGGGAAAG